TCATTCACAATGAGCTGTCTGCTCTGTGAGGAGGTAGAGGTTGCAGCTTACATGTGGTACAGTCCCAGAGTTTGGGTGTTGGGAGAGGCATCAAGAGCAGCCTGGCCCAGTTAATAGCTCCAGGCTGAACAAGCCTCCTTGTGTCCACACCATGAACATTCAGCCCAAGTTTGACGGTTGAGTGACATCAGCCTCTTGCCTTATGAGCAGCAACTAGTGAGTCTTTCTCATTAACCCCCCTGAGTTATTAGATTAGACTCCAACCATGACTCACAATCAGTGTTTCAGCTCTTGGATTGAATTGCATCTCTTAAGGTCCACAAAGAAAGGGGTATGGGAGGAGAAAAGCAAAGGTATGTCACTGGCAATGATGAGATGCTTCCTGCTTCAACAGTGCCTAGGACAGCTGGCCATCAGGTTCAGGCAGGTCACTTTGATGTCAGACCAAGAGATAAGAGAAAGCACAGAGTAATGAACCTGGGGAAGCTTTGCCCACTGTCCTAGGTCTCAAAAGTCCTAGAGTATCTCATGGTCTTACAGCATAGCAAACCACAGGCAGACATGCACAGGATATCATCTCTCCTTTCTTCCAGATCACTTGTTCTTCACACTGGCAAAGCTACCCTAACCATTCTTAGGAATGAAAAACAGTCTGACATATTCCCCCATCAATTTCAGCTGTGAAAGAATGAAAAACAGGAAGCCCATGTCAACCAAAATATTTTTAACTGAGAGAAAGGACACAAACTGGCACAGCCATATTTTGAATTAACTTTAACTTTATTTTTTACACATTTTTAATAAATTGACAGGACGAGGCAAGAGACACTAAATGATATTCAGAAAGATAGACCCCTGGCTTCTGCATACGGTTTTCTCCTAATTTACCTGTGATACTCCTTCATTCCAAAGTAATCCATTTGATTATTAGATCATTCATTCATTCATTCAACAGACATGTATTGAGTGCTTACAATATGCTGGACACCATGCCTAGTGGACCCTTAAAGAATGAGACAGATGTGTTTTACAACCTTAGAGTTAGCTGAGGTTAACCATAGCTTATGAATGAGAGGAAGGAGGACTCATATCAGGCAATTATAATAATATGCTCCAGAGTAGTTATGACCATTTGGAAAGTACTTTCTTCTTATTAAACTAAAATCTGGCTCAACGTATCAGTTCTGTTTGATTCTTCTTTGTACCAAGAGTTACTGTAGGGGACTCTGTGAGGTTGGGTTCCCCCAAAAGTGGAGTGGTTACTTTTGATCCCAGTAGACAGGAGTGAGGGAATGAGAGGGAGAGACGAAGGAAGGGAGGAGGGATTCTGCTGGATTCTGCTGAGACTTCTGTGAAGAAGCACAGAGTCCTCCCAGAGTTGTCGATCCATGGGACAGGGTGCTGGGACATTCGTTTACTGGCTCCTGACCTGTTAGTTGAAGTCATTCTACCCCAAAGTCATACAGAATAAATCAAATCCCTCTCCTCTGTGAGATCCTGGAATGTACCTGCCCTGTACTCTTGAGTTTTCCTAAGATAAGCACACTATGTCCTCGCACGGAACGGGTTTTATTCCTCTTATGACCCTATTCTCATATTGTATTGAAATTTGTCTCATGTGGCACAAAAATTGAATGTGGTACTATAGGTGGGGCCAGCCAGCACATTATGAAAAGGCACTATTATGTGGAGAACTTCATGGTACTCCAGGGTGAGGCTATTTGATTGTTTTGAAATTCAGTGACTTTGATAAGATAAATTTTGGCTTTTTCATATTCCATGTTATAGGTAGGGTATATTTTGGTTTTAGTTTTTATTTTTTTTAAAGACAACTCAAAATATTTTTGAATAAAATGCTTAACTTCCAGATATCATATTTTAACTGAAGTTCTTGTTATAATAATATGCTCAAAAGCTTTAAACCTACCTTAAAAGATGATGTGCCATTTTGAATTGAAATGGAGGCTTCTTCAGATAATTAAACCAAAATCTAGCATCTTTTTAGCCATGTTTCTGTGTCTTTCACATAAGTGAGGCATTAATTTGTTCCAGGTTTAAAATTAATATTTTGTTCATTTTTAGGAAAGTACTATTTTTATGATAACTATTTTGACCTGCCAGGAGCTCTTCTATGTGCCAGGGTGGTGGACTTACTAACAAAGGTGAGTAGAGGCTCATTTTTTTAAAACTATGATATGTACTTAGTCATAAATCATAGGACTTAATTATATATAACTTTTGAGTTGAGATTTTAATTTCTTCTTTGTGGTTTCAGAGGTGACTGAGAAGAAAAACATGGTCACTTTGGTCAAAATATTTTTGGAGAATTAAATAGCAGTGCCCATTTTTTTTCCCCCAGGGAAAATAAACCTATTCTCCAGCAGGGGGTGCAAAAGTCTAGAAAAAGAAAATACATACCAGAACTTGAATCTGGAAAAAATATTTTCTTTAGCAGAATAAATAAATAGTTTAACTAGCAGAATTAAAAAGAGTAAAGGTAATTAAGAAAATTCTATGTGTCCACATGCATTCTAAATAATATAAAAACAAAAATGAGATGAAATTTTTAAATTCATTATTTTGAGCATAGTTTAATGCATATAGATTTTTCCTATGTACTGTGTACCAACATTAAATAGGTCTCTGGTTAATCAGTTTATACTTAAAACTTAAGACCTATGAACATAAATAGATTTACATGCCACAATCACTTTCCTTTTTACATATATTGTCTTTTAAAATCACTAATAAAATATCTATAGTAGAGCATGGGTAATGGTTTATTTTTGAATCAGAATTACATTCATGTGTTCGTGAAAAATTTCTGGGGTGCAGTAATTTTGGTATGTTTGTAGAAGTTTTTGTTAACACAAGATGGAGTAAGTTTCTCATTTTTTAGTTACTATAAGCAAAATATATCATTCTTTAAATATTTCATAGTTTGTATAATTAGGTACAAATATCTAGTAGTCTGTCTTTATTTAGATAGGAAGACACTAGTTAATGTCCAAGGAAACAAATGGTTATAAGGTTTTATGTTTTAATGTAATGTTTATTTGCTTTCTGGTTTAGAAAAATATTAATAAAAATGATTTACAGTTTATATTTGCAACTTCATTCTTCTCACCTGTAGAGACTTGCTGCTCTTTACGATTGAAATTCAGGTTAAGTGTGCATTGAATTCTAAAGTGACAGCTTTTGGGGCTTTAGGACCTCAGGTTCCTTAGCCCCATTGATGCCCTAGTATGTTAAGCAACACATTCTGACATTCCAGAAATTATATAACATTGTAAGTTTACTTATGTATTCAAAATATTCTATAATTTTTAGACTTTGAGTGGAAATTTTCATTTTATTTGGTCTATATGAGCTATATTAATATTTAGTGATATATATATAGGAGTGATTTTCTGGAAGATTTCTCTTTTTAAAATCACATTTAGGAGAATGAGAATTTTATTAATCTATTATGTTTTCTTAAACATAAATTCCTATCTTAGAATATTATAATATAGATACTCCTTTACTTATAGTGGGGTTACCTCCCAATAAACCCATTGTAAATTAAAAATATCTTTAAGTTGGAAATGCATTTAATAACACCTAACCCACCAAATATCATAGATTAGCCTAGCCTTCCTTAAATGTGCTCAGAACACTCACACATTAGCCTATAGTTGGGCAAAATCATCTAACACAAAGTCTATTTTATAATGATGTATTGAATAGCTCATGTAATTTATTGAATCCTGTGCTGAAAATGAAAAACAGAATGGTTATGTGTATACTCAAAGTATGGTTTATACTGAATCTATTGCTTTCACACCATCATAAAGTTGAAAAATTTTAAGTGAACTGTCTTAATTAAGTTAGGGACCATCTGTATTGTAATTGTTTACTAGCATTTTTAACTATGTTTAAAAACAGAATTATTGCATTTATTACATTTGGAATTTTTCTTTTCAGCACAACAATGGTCAAAAAACATTTGATTTCTGGAAGGATATAATTGCTGGTATACAACACAATTACAAAACGTCAGCTTTTAAGGGTGAGTAACAGGAAGAGAGGCTTCCTAATAGATGTTTTTTAAACAGTGTGTTTGTCTAGTGAATTAGTTGGAAGTTACCTATTTTGCCATGTTTCTTAGGATTTAATTTGGAGTTAAATATTGTTATAAGGTTGGTTCTGCTTACATTTTAAGAGGTCCTTTTATGCATGTCTGTTTCATGGCCATAATTGTCATTATTCCAAGTTGTGCTGTTAAACCGCCTTTTACAAAAATGTTTGCCAATAAGATTGTTCTGTGGGCTCCCCAAAATTGAAGTTCCGGCTTTACTGTTTCCTGGCTTGGGCGTGAAGGGTTGGTGACACTTGTAACCATTAGTGTAGTTAGTTGTAGACAGGTGAGCAAAGTGCCTGCTAGAAGAAATTTCATTCTTGTTGCTTAAGAAACAGGACTGGCTGACCCAGAATGGAGGCAGAGATAGCACCAGCCTTGAGCCTACCTTTCATTCACAGCCTTGCTGTGGCTACACAAAGTTGCTTCTAAGGAATAAATAGATGCCTCTATAGTATGTTACCCCAGTGACTTGAACCAGATCTTGCTGATTCAACTAATGGGCTGATGGATACTCAAGAGCAGTATTGTTTAGCTTGGAAAAATATTGCCTTTTGATTGAAATAAAAATTACTTGACTTCCTTTTAATGTAATTCAAGCCGTCAAAATAATTTTAAATATTATAACTAAAAACATGTCAAGATAATAAATAGTAACTGCAGGATATTTATTCAAAGTACATGTTTCTCTGCCACCTGCTTCTTTCCTGCCCAGAAGAAAAATCACTGCTTTGGGATGATTGTCTCATTTTTCTGTTTCTAGTCATCAGCTCTTGACCCTGCTCATGTGGCTTTGTGGGTCCCTTTTCACAGTCTACACTGAGTGCTTGGGTGTGTGGGAATGCCCGTCCCCATTGGAAGGACATATCCATGACAACTGTAAAAGCCACCCAACACTTTTTTATTTTTTACTTTTTTTATTATCTTTGTAAAATAAAAAGCCCTAAAGAATGGTTGAAAACAGCAAATAGCTGCTTTCAAATAAATCCAGCATAAAAAATCTATTGATGTTATTTTATTGCATTGTAAATAAGGAATAGTAAAACATTTCATGCTTTAATAAGTGAGGCACAGCTTAAAAGTTTTAAACAGCAATATAAAAATACAGTACAGAGCATAAATAAATAATATCTTTTCACTTCTAGTCAAATTTTGAAACCCTTGATATTAGTTACAATTTCACTGAAGTGGGAGGCACAAGGTATATATGCTAATGTTCTATAAACCCACAAAAATCATATCACATAAGATTCAATAAGGAATTAAAGAAATCAAATTAATCACACTTGTGTTAAATAAATAAGAATAGGTCAGACACCTGATTTCAAGATGTACTGGGTATATAGAAAACTTCTCTGCAATCACATAAAAGTTTTAAAAGATTCATTGACTAAAGCACCTTGCATTTCAGATTAATTTCAACATACTATTTTGGTTTTTAATGAGAACTTTAAAAAGTATATATGCACCTGTATATTTGAATAGATCTTGATGAAAGGGACCATATAGGCCTCTGAACAATGCACCATCAGAAATATCTCAGGGTATACAGTGTCTTTTAAATTTGAATATTCAAGTATTTAAGTTCTATAAAGTTATATGATACTTCCTCCTGAATGTTTCCTGGAAGTTCTCATATTGATTGTTAGAAACAGCCTTATTTTACAAGGAAATCCTAAGTTTCTGAAGTCAAATTTAATATAATTTAGAGGCTTATTTCTGGGGGGGGGTTTTGTGCTAGTTTTATATTTTTTTAACTTAGTAAGACTTCTGTGATGAAATTTTAAATATTAAAGGAGTTCGCAGAATACTTTAAAGGGCCTTAGGATTGCTCACTCAATTCAAGAGGGTCTTCACATGCTTACTCTTGCTGCTCACTTTTCAAGGGGAGGGAAATTGTTGATCTGATAGCTCAAATCTGTATTTTGGAAAATAAAAATTACTCACATTCCTTTCAGCCTACCTCCGTATGCATTTTGTGGGGTGGGAGGGAGTTGGGGAAATGCCTTTCCAAGCAGAAGATTTAGATTAGCTCAGTGGGAGTGTGCTCACATGGGAGCCACTAAGAATCCTGAGAAAGAGGAATAGACATACTCAGAGGAGTACAGGCCATTCAACTCCGCATTGGGCAGCTGGAGCCACACCTGGTCATTTTCTGTGAGATCGACTATGGCGCTTCCTGAAGCCTGATCTAGGTAGCCTTTGGAATATTCATCATAGGTGTACATTATAGGGGTGCCGTTCTTATACAGGCCTACCCAAGCATGAGTCCCTTTCACATGCACATGGTAGGAAAAATAGTATATTCCTGGTATCCTACAGGTAAAGATTCCAGTTCTTGGGTCATAATGCTGTTGCCTGTTATACAAAATCTTATCAAATGGGATGGGAGTACCTACTGCTGGGTAAGCTTTGGAGAGAGTAACAGTAAAAGCAGACACAGGCATTCCTGTTATTCCCTGGTTGGCACTAGTAAGAGGCATCCCAGAAATACCAGGCCTTTGTCCTGCCTTTATAAAGCCCTCGGGCATGGCGGCTTGACCTGGTGGGCCTGGGGGCCCTGGGGGCCCTGGGAGGCCAGGCTCTCCAGTGTGGCCTCTTGGCCCTGGAGGCCCTGGTGGCCCAGTGGGTCCATTGAGGCCCTTAGTTGCTATGCCAGCTGGGCCAGGTGGACCTGGATTTCCTGGATCCCCTTTAGCTCCAGGGAATCCTGGAATGCCTGGTGGCCCAATGGGGCCTCTAGTACCTGGTATTCCAGGGGTGCCTCTTGGACCAGCCTCCCCATTGTGTCCAGGCACTCCCTTAGCTCCTGTTGGGCCCGTAGGGCCTGGGAGACCAGGAGATCCTCCAACTCCAGGGTCACCTTTTGGGCCTGGTAATCCTGGGTTACCCTTAGGGCCATGGAGACCTGGTTCTCCTGGGTACCCTGGTTTTCCATCCAACCCGGGGGAGCCCCTTTCTCCCTTAGCTCCAGGGTATCCTGCAGGCCCAACTGGCCCCGTCTCGCCTTTAGGGCCTGGGAAACCATGGTTGCCTGGGATGCCTTTTGGTCCTTGGGGTCCCATATTTCCAGGGGGTCCAGTCAGACCTTGCTCCCCAGGATGACCCGCTGGCCCTTGTTCTCCTTTGACACCTGGAGCCCCTGGAAGGCCGGCAGGTCCTCTTTGTCCCTTCAGGCCTGGCAAGCCTGGTTTTCCAAAGCCAGGAGCTCCTGGGGGCCCAGCTATTCCTGGAGCCCCAGGGAGACCTTTTGTTCCTGGAATCCCTGCCTGGCCTGGGGCTCCAGGAGCTCCTGGCTTTCCAATGCATTCTGGTCCCCGTTCCCCAGGAGGACCTCGGGGACCTGGTAGGCCACTTGGTCCCCTTTCTCCTGGAATACCCCGATCACCTTTGATACCTGGCTGTCCTGGAAACCCATTTTCACCTCTTTTTCCTACTCCAGGAGGACCAGGTGGTCCCATGGGACCCTGTGGGCCTGGAAGGCCCCTCTCACCTGGGCGGCCAGGAGCACCATACCCTGTTTCCCCTTTCTGTCCATTCACACCAGGGACTCCTGGTGCACCCTTTTCTCCAGGATACCCCCTGGGTCCCTGGGCTCCTGTAGGTCCTTGTTGTCCAGGTTTTCCTGACACAGAAAGTCCAGCTGGGCCAGGGATTCCAGGTGGTCCTGGTGGGCCCCGTGGTCCTGGTAAGCCAGCTGGTCCAATATCTCCTTTTTGTCCATGTGGTCCTCTCTCCCCTGGTTTTCCTGGGAGTCCTGGCAAACCTGGCTTCCCAATGGCCGATGGTCCCGGTGGTCCTGGCAACCCTGGCTCTCCTTGGAGTCCAGGACTTCCGTAGCCTGGTTTTCCTGGTGGTCCAGAAGGACCTGGGAGGCCGCGAGGTCCAGCAGGGCCTGGTGGACCAGGAATACCTTGCTCTTTTCTTACTGGTATACCTAAAAGACATACCCAATACACCCACCCAGAAAGCGGGATAGTTAGTCATTGCTTCTCAAAATATGAATTGAATTGGCACAGGACATTGCAGTGTCATTCAGTCCATTGTAGGCAGACCAGTCTGAAATGGTTTTAGATGATATGTTTTATATAGTTTTAAAAAAAACACTGCTAGAGAAAATGGTTCAGAAAACCATGGCTATCATAATACTTCCATCACATCTTAATGATCCATGAAAATCAGCTGGGATGTGAAGAATCCACTCTAGAATAAGAGTGCAGTAGAGGTAAATCTATCACATTTGTTTTGGAAAAATTATCTACCTACCGTGTTTCCCCAAAAATAAGACCTACCCATAAAATAAGCCCTAGCAGGATTTCTAAGCATTTGCGCAATATAAGCCCTACCCTGAATATAAGACCTAGTGATGGGCATGGCTATGCAGCGTATCTGCACAACCCATGCATTTTGACTTGGAGCGGTAAAGAAGACGAGCAGCCCTTCTCATCTGCCCCATCATGACAGCTACAATCCCAGAGGTGACTGGAAAGGTGCGGGTAGCCCCACCAACAAGGTCGGCTCCCCTTGTCAGGACCTGGCCATCCTGTGTGTGCTGCAAGCTGAGGCTTTGAGGGGAAAGTCTCCTCAATGAAGCGAGGAGCAAGATGCTCTGCTTTAGGTATCGTGTGTCCCCAGGGGGAAGAAGGAAAGCTGTGGCTGCCATTTTACTATGATGATGTTCCTGAAGAAGACAACTTAACTATATTTGAATAAATGTAGATTGTTGTACTTTACTTAAAAAAAATAACACATCCCCTGAAAATAAGCCCTAGAGTGTCTTCTTAAGGAAATATAAATATATGACCCTGTCTTATTTTCGGGGAAACATGGTAGAAAGGAAAAAAAAGAAAAGCTATTTAGCTATTTAACAGAAAATGCAGAAAAGACAAGTGCAGAATAAGTGAGAAAATGTTTAAGAACTATAACAATTTTCCCTCACAAAGCTATCCTATCAGACATAAATAAGAAATGGAATTAATTCTAGTTTACATCTGCCATGGCCCTGCTGAAAATAGTTTAGATTTAGGTTGATTTTCTTTTTTTTTACCTGAAAGTGCATGTGTGTATGTTTCAAGTTTAAGTCAATATACTCTCTGTTATTGACTTAAACTTGAAACAAAGAATTAGAGAATTAGGCATAATGGGTGAGATATATAAATAGTATTAAAGTGCTTATCTAAATACAAATAAATATTGTTTGATTTCATAGAGCTATGAGTTCGTTTGACTCGATATATTGAACTTAAACACAAAAATCACATATTTAGTGCCCATGATATGAAAAACACTGTTGGGCCACAGGTGTGGAGAAAGCACAGAATGTGTCCTGTAAGGGCTTCAGTCACAAACAGTAAGTAAGTGTGCACATGGTAAGTGCGTTAAGAGGTGTCCAAGGGCTGCTTTGGTCATTCAAAGGTAGGATATACTAGGCATTGTGGGTATCAGAATATACTATTAGGGAAGTATTATCAAGTCCGTCTTTTAGCAATAATCGTCATAAGCATCTACATGAAAAATAATCCTTATTTTTCAGAGAAAGTATTTAATAGTTAGCAAAAATGATAATAAAATTACTTGATTTTTAAATCTACTTGCAGAATTTTAATATTAATCATTTTCTGCTTAATAAATTTCAGAAACAGTAGAATGCCTACTTATACGATTTAGAGTCTTATACTTTTGAAAAATGGGTCATAGTATTGTAGATTTAGTGGATGTCCCAGTACTTGAATAGTTTAGCCAAAACCCTGAAGTTGACTTATAGCTATGACTTTTGAGCCACATCTTTTTGTTGTTGTGAGAACAAAAAAAAATTATTAATATACTTAAACTGTAACTAAATTTGTAATGATTTAAAAACTCACACTGAAGACTAAAGGGGAATTAATAGTAAATGAATTGAAATGAATTGTAAATTACCTTTGAAAAATTTTTATAGATATAATACACTTTAACTATTAGTTGTTGGTACACAAGTGTATTAAAATAAAAAATCTCTCATACTAATTGACTGACACACAAGTAGTCAGCTAACAGTATTTGCTAGTATTATTCTCATAGGTAAAGATGTTCCTGAGATTTGAAAAACATTTGGTGTATATAAAATACAGAGCAAATCATTAAAGTACATATGCTGAAATAGGGAAACAATTGTTTTAGATTTAGGTATCTTTATATTTTATACTAATTAAAGTTATATTTCAATTTGTAAACATTTAAATACATAGAACTTTCCCATGGATTTTTTAAAAAATGACATTAGGAAAAAGACTGAGAAAAATTAATTTTTCAAAAAGATTTCCACAGCACAATTCACTATTGCAAGGTCATGGAAACAACCCAAGTGCCCGTCAGTTCAGGAGTGGGTAATTAAAATGTGGTATATGCTCACAATGGAATATTACTCAATTCTAAAAAATGACAGTGAGCTAGCACTGTTTATGCTATCCTGGATTAAGTTTAAGCCTGTTATCCAAAGTGAGGCAACACAAGACCAGGAAAATGGGCTCCACATCTACTCACTATTAAATTGGTACTGACTGATTAAAACTATGGTGCTCAAATGGTGGTAGTACTCACTAGGGATTGAGGGGGCAGGGCAGGGAGACCCACATCCTAGGATGTGGTGAGCATTGCCAGGGTAAGGGAATGCCTTCTAACCCTTCTTAGGGAGAGGCAAAGATATACAAAGTAAACAAAATGCCAAAAAAAAAAAAAAAAGAAAGAAAAATAACTTTTATAGGGTGGTGGGCAGGTGGGGAGGGGGAGGGGAAGAGTGTATACTTACATAATGGGTGTGGTGCGCACCACCTGGGGTTTGGATACACTTGAAGTTCTGGGGGTGGGGGGTGGCAGGGGCAATATATGTAACCCTGACAATATATGTACTCCCATAATATAATGAAACAAAAGAAAAAAAAGCTTTCCATATAAACACATATCTATATTGATTGACTTTAGTATATATACATGATATATTTATATGTATGAATGGATGTAAATACATTGAAAATAGAATAAATAAATAAGTCATTTCTTAATAGTTTGGAATAACATAGCATTTTTTTTTGCATTTTTAAAAATGCAAACCATGTTAGACTGAGATTTGCTTCAGAATCTGATTATAAGGGTCATGTTCATACTAAAACTAATTGTCTTAGTATGACTGGAAATCTGTTTTACACTTAAAGAGGAAAAACAAGTCAATGAAAACAACTGCACTGGGCACCATTTGAGGCTAGCACTCCAATGTCACGGTGATCTTTGTGGCTTGGAATGTTGTACTAATGGGTCCTTAACCTCAGTAGGAAAATTTAACTTCTGTTTGAATCCTCAGGGGACAGCCCCTGTTTGTAGTTTGCCATCTGAAAACAATTTCATTCGTTCAAGATTAGGGAGGCACCATCCTCAAGGAAAAATGCGTACCAACTATTAAGTTTTTTAAAACTTAAATAGTGGTTGGATGTGTCAGACTATGGCACCTGTGTCTGCTCACTAGCTGTGGAATCCTCTGCAGCACAGTTCAGTGTGTTTTGGCCGAATTCTCTTTCAGTCTATGTTGAGCAGATATGCCTAGGAATTACATAGGAACTCCTCGAATTTCTGTTATCAACTCAATGTTTTGCTTGTATTTACCTGTGGGCTTGTGTGTTTGTTACAATGCATTCATGCCTGCCAGTAGATGGTAATGTATTTGAATTTCTACCTTGTCTTATCAAAAAGAGACCAAGGTTAATAGTAAAATATAGCTTCATTTGGTAACAAGATACTTTTATTTGTTCTGTAAAAATAGCCAAGACGATACAGTATATTAAGGGAGGAAGATAAAAATATCTTTTTAACCTTATAAATGTGGTATATTTTATTTTTAATTCAAGAATGTTGATTATGATCTTGGTAAGGTATAAAAAAAGTCTGAATTTATGGTCATAGAGATTATGGAATCCAGTGATGTTTATTATAACATTACAAATTGCATTTGTTGCCTTCAAGTAAAGTAGCAAGTTTCTTTGTCTTTTATTTTTTTCTTTCCTGGTTTTATCTTTATTTATATTGTGAGACATGCAAGAGTATCTGTTGTACACCTATGCATGCATTTGTTTTTAAATATTAAGCTACCTTTTATAAAATATTTTAAATTTCATCTTCTTAAAATGACAGTCTTACAAGTTTCCTGTACTTGAAATGGTTTTTCTCAAGAGCATAGTGTTTAAAGTTTATGCCAAATATCCTTAGCTTTATTTACATGATAAAATATATAGCTAAGATGAAAAATATTAGGGAAAGGAAATTTGAAGCCTACAATCAGTTTATATTATTTAGTAGATGTTTTATAGTCAGTTTGTGTCAGATGGCACTAAGTGGAATTACTGAGTATGAGGCCTACACATTGCCCTCCTTTGAAAATCTCTTAGTACTTCACATATACAAGGTATTATCTCAATACCCTTCACGGTAACCAAGAAAGCTGGGCAGATGAAGAATAGATTCAAAGACAAAGTCAAAACTTACCTAAGGCTATACCAGTAGAATAGTAGTATTAGACGTAGAATTACAAGTAATAGAAATAGGAGTATCAGTAGTACTAGTAATAGCAACACTTAAAGTACTTTACAGATGTTAACTCATTTAATCTTCAGTACAGCCCCTTGAGATAGCTGATTCTTATTTTACAAATAGGGAAACTAAGGCACAGAGAGGGTAAATAACTTCCCCTGCGGCCACACAGAGAATAAATAACTTCCCCCCGAGATCACACACATAATTGGTATGCGGCAGTAAAGTCTGTGCATTTTACTCCTAAGTGATATTAAAAATGTGTAAGTAATTATGAGAATTGCTGCTTCATTTCTCTATTAAATTTATTTAGGGAGAGCATCAGGTTTTATTTGCTAAGACTCAGTTTTGTGTGTATTTATGGGCTAGTTGAATGAGTTTTAAAAGTAAATGTTTAAATTTAGATATATAAACCTGCTACTCTCTTTATACAATTGGCAGTTATTTTTAATTTAAAATTTGTAAGCTTGATTAATTTTGATTGGATTAATATTTCTAGATTATGTGTGGTTTGTGTAAAAACATCATTTAAAGAAAAAGATCTTTACACATAAAAGTTCTTAATATTCTTCAGGTATATCTTTTTACTGTACTTTCAGGTATATACTTTCTGCTGCACTTACTGAGCAAAAGATATTAATGTTCTTGGATAGACCTACTTTTTTCACAAATCACTTGGATGTAACACTTTGAGCTGATTGAGGAGTTGGAAAATAATTTATGATGTTATAAGCATTTTGTTAAAGAGATGGTTAAGATTATAGAAAGCATCCACCAACTGGTTAATAGAGCAAAGTATACAATTCAGTTTACCTTTACTGTTCATGGTGTGGGGAATGAAGAAGTGTGCCTTGATGTTGGGTAGTGGTCCTTTCATGCCTGTAAAGGTAGTAAAGGATGGAACCAAGTTCAAGGACATTAGCAGCAGAAAGGCTATTTTTGGCAGCATATTCTCTGATGGATTCTGAAAAACAGAAAAGAATAATTTTATACAGCTTTGTTATGGACCTGTTTTATTCTCATTTTACACAGATGTCTTTATACAGTTGTCTACTTTTTTACCTTATCCTATATATTTTGAATATACTCCATAAATTAATGAGAGATAATTTTTTATTTATGTGAATATATGTCTTAGTTGTTTTTGGAAGCCACATTCAAGTAATAAGGTAAAAATAAAGTGATTTACAAAAAAAGAGACACATTATTATTGGATGTCTCTATTAAATAATTCAGGATCTTTGACATAGCCTGAAATATCCAATAGTTTCAAAATACACTAAAATTCAGATTAGGACAAATTTTTACAATATGGTTTTATTAGGACTATCTTATATAGACTGATACAAATGAAACTTTCTTAGTGTATTTTAGTAGAAAGCCATTTTTTAAAAATCACAAAGCAAACCCAATAGTTAATTTATTGAAGCTTGTTTCCAAGCAAGCTAACATGGAAGTCCACCAGTGAGCATCAATTCATAGACTTACTTGCCTGAGTGCTGGGAGTTCCTAGAGGTGGTGTCTTGGCAGCTTTCTGAGGCCTCCACTGGTCAGGCGAGCAATGCAGAAGGTGCCTCTACAGAGCTGCCCTGTGGTATTTATACTGTTTTTTCTTTGCTGCATGAGGTTACCCTGAGCTTAAGCTCCTCCCCTTAGAGGTGACAAGCACTAATTATGGTGAAAAGTTCTATTGGGCAGACACACAAGATCAGGTCTGGTTCTCATTTTTCTTGTTTTCTTATTGAAAAATAAACTCTTTGTCTTAAATATATATTAATAGTTTTAACCATGCACCATATTTTTCTGGGATTTTATTTTAGATATTATTACTCCAGTGTTTAGGCTGGTTCATGATGAGATGATCATACCCCATTTTTATTTTTGAAAAACATAGTCTGTGTTTACTTGGTTGGGAATATGTGGTAGTACATAACAGTAGGTGAAGAATTATCTTGGGGTGGGGGTTTAGATTTAAACCATCATCTAAATTCTTCAGTTATTATGTACAGCCATCAATGTGTCTATTAATGTTTCTAAATTTTTATGAAAATGACTTATCCCAATTTTTAATTATTTTTAGTCTTGAGTGAAAGAAACAAAATGGTGAAAATTTGTTTGCATTTCAGGATTTTAGTGTAAGCCCTCAGAAGTTAGTAAGAGAAACTTAAAGTATGATAGCATATTAAATATTTAAAATTTTTGCATATTAAATATTTTAAATTTTTCAGACAGAGGTAGGCCATCTGCCTCTGAATTTGATGATACAGTCAGCAGTGTAATTACCCTGAAGGATGTAGACTCTATTCACAACACCATATACTGTGTTCAGTAAATGGCTGCAGATTTTCTTGCTTAAATTTAGATTTTACTTTAGAGTTGCAATAGAGTTTGCAACAGCTCCTTAACTTGATAATCTCATATTATGTTTATTTACATAAGGTTGCTGTGTAAATTTCAGGAGAAAAAAAAATTCAAACTGCTTTCAGCTTTTTAAAGTATCATTGACTTACCTTGCAATTTCCTTTAGGGATCTTGAATTATCCCAATTAGAAATATTTTTCCCCAAAGATGTAAGTAAATGTTAAGTTCAGTAGTTAGGTCTCTTTAACCTAACTCTTTAACCTAAAGTCTCCTAATGTTAGGAGACTTTTAAAATCAGTTTTCAAGATCCTAAAAAAATCTTATAAAGGCAGGAAATTGAGACCCCACATTTTATATTTAATTTCCTCATTTCAAATCTAAATCAAATTGACTATACAGGTGAACTGGATGAGAATAAGAATTTCATTCACAAGCATAGCTACATCATTTTTGTATCTCCATAGAATTAAAGTAGTTTAGATTCAGTATTGATCAATAATTGAAATAATTGAATATTTGGTGAATGAGATAAAGGTTTGTCCTTTCTTTTCTCTCTCTATGTAGGCAATTTTCTGTGTGTGTACAACAAGCCTTATATAGCCCCTTGTAGAAACGTAAGTGGATAACTCATCTCACCTGCTCTTTTTCTCCTTCCACTTTTAAGCCTTTTGTTGATTGCCATATTAAAAAAAAATCTACATTGTCATATATGTCTCTGTATAATACTAATAGATGCACATGAAAAATATGGCTTTTATAAAGTTCAAATTAACAGGAGAATTGGAAAGTTTATACTGCAATCATTCTTTCATCATTTGGAAATTATATATTGAATAGCTTTTGTAATTATAATATGTACTCTACTATATCTGTAAGAGATCACAAAAGATAAGTGAGAGAAAACAGCTGCCTTCTATTTGCTTATGGTTCATTTGGACAAGATTTTGAAAAAGTAGGTGAGGTGACATTATGGATGCTCTTGAATACCAGTTGAAGAATTTGTTTTGAAAGGCATTATTAGAAATACATATTTTAGTATTTACATATGTTTATAATTGAGACTGATACCCTGTTGGTTTTTGTTCATGAGAACATTCAGAAGATTAGTTCTAAGCTCTTTGTATCTACCACTAATGCACCTGTGTAGAACATTTGTTCATCTGTGGCTATTCTAATAATTTTCAGAGGTTTTTCTGTTTTTTCATCAACACAATGAAAAGTTTGGACAAGGTGGTTTATAAACTCCTCCCAGCCTTAAAATTAGATTATTCTCCTGCTTGAGGTATTCTGCTGCTCCCTGTGGTCAGATGGTAGATTTGGCTTCATTTAGTACTTACTAGAACCGAAAAACAAAAATCCATACCAGGTGGTTACATGCCTTCTTTTTGGGATATGTAAATATATGTGCGTATTTGTCATTCTGTATTCCCCTTTAGCTTTGGAAAATGTGGTGTCTTTATTGAATAAACCTTGGATGCTCAACCCTTTTTGCAAATAGTGTACTTATTTCAGCACAAGGAATCTGACTACTATTTGCTTTGTTAGTCACATAAGAAGCACTGTCTTGTCCAAGACAGATTGTAGAATCAGAATATTTGCTAGCCACACTCCACCCAATTTGTGTATTTAAAACTTTTTATTCTAGGTGTTTACTTGTAGTTGTTTGAAGTGACTAGTCTGTGGCTTTATGAAGGAAATCCATTCCACTTAAAACAGAGAGCCATGCTTTTTAAACTCAGTAACCTGCGTGATTTTTTAATATCAAATATTAATGATGTTTTTTGGAAATATAGCAATTAGCTGCTATTAAGCTTGCCTATTCATTTACATACCCTTGGGTCATGACTAATTCACCAAAAATTTCTTGAGTATCTTTTAAGTGTCAGGCATTGAGATAAATATTGGCAAATAATGCATATTCATTACTGTTAAGGTATTTACACAGTGGCTCTCAGCCTATTTTCCCCACTCCTACAGTAATGAGGGATATGATACAATTCCTTCAATCTTTGGGGTTCATTAAGATAGTGATAGTTCAGAGACTAAATTTTGAAAAAGCTCCTCAGGTGATCATGATGGACTCCTAAGTTTGAATGATGTCAGTGTTCTATTACCAGCTTGCTAATATTAGCTACATAATTTTTGCTGTTTGTGTTCACATGGGTTTTAAACTTTATTATAGGAAATTGTAGTCTTATACAGAAGTAGAGAGAATAGTTACAATGAATTCCTATGTACCTATCACCTGACTTAAACTAATCTCAATTTACTGTCACTCAATCTTACTTTCATTCACCACCACCCCAAATTTTGAAGCAAATCCCATATATTGTAACAATTCATTGATGAATATTTCCACATATTTCTCCAGAAGATAAGATAAAGAATCCTTTTTCTTTTTCTTTTTTTTTTTTTTTTTTTTGCTTTGTTGCCCAGGCTAGAGTGAGTGCCATGGCATCAGCCTAGCTCACAGCAACCTCAAACTCCTGGGCTCAAGCAATCCTGCTGCCTCAGCCTCCCAAGTAGCTGGGACTACAGGCATGCGCCACCATGCCCGGCTAATTTTTTCTGTATATATTAGTTGGCCAATTAATTTCTTTCTATTTATAGTAGAGACGGGGTCTCACTCTTGCTCAGGCTGGTTTCGAACTCCTGACCTCGAGCAATCCGCCTGCCTCGGCCTCCCAAGTGCTAGGATTACAGGCGTGAGCCACCGCGCCCGGCCAGAATCCTTTTTCTTTACAACAATATCTTCATCATATTTTAAAAATTTAACCATTTCTTAATATCATCAAATGCTTTAGGCTATATTTACATTACCCCACTTATCTTATGTGTGACAGATACGTATATAGACACATATATACACACACAAGTATATGCATAGATACGCATATATAATATACATGTAAATATGCATACATGTCATATATTTTTATTCATTGGTTTTAGAAATAATTATATTTGAATTCTACCTATCCTTATTTACTCTTATTTACTACACCTTATTTACTGTCAGTGGTGACACAACAAAATTCTTGTACATTTTAATGCACATTGTATGCCTCAGTATAACCATATTGAACTGCTTTTAAAATGCATTTGACTTGCAGTGTTGATAAGTTTATCAGAATTTTAAAAAACATTTCATATGACAATGATGGACACAATCAGCTTTTAGAATGTGTTAATTTTGTTTTATTGCATTTTATGATCTAGTTTTTCAATTGAAAAGTACACGTGTGGATCATTTTATGAGCTAAGTTTCTTTAGATATTTTTCATCCTGGGGGGCATAGCAATTTAACTTTGTTTTGCTTAAAAGGCATTTAAAATATTAAGCCATATTCAAAGTGAGGGCCATTTGTATAAAAGTTTTCTGTCTTTGAGACCTAATATAGCACTTGAGTTTTCTGTCAGTCATTTTTTAAATAACATTCCATGATTATTACTCTAGATAGATCTGATTCAACTTTGTCTTCAGATTGGACTTGCATTTATTGTCTTCTGTGTGTCAGGTGTTTTACTTTTCTCATTTGATCCACAGTAACCTTATGTGATATATATTATTGCTCTTATTTTGTATGTAAGGAAACTGAAGCTCAGGAGGTTAAGGAATTGCACAGGTTCATAAAGCCTGTAGGTGGCAGAGCAGAAAGTAGAATGCAGCCATCTTTGGACACCAGGTTCAAAGGCTACATTGGCATTTTCCACAAGAGCATGCTCTCAGGTATTTTTAAGTATTCCTCTTTTGTTTAATTTCCTCTGATAGTTACCTAAAGCCATCAGCGTATGCTCATGTTCCAGCCCTTATAAACTGTAGGAGAAATGCTGATGTAGCCGTTATATATCACTTAGTTAATGTATTTTCTCAAGGTAGGAGCAACTCCTTTGCTTTTCTGGCCACATCAGACCTATCTCCCTTTTCAGCCTTACAGTGCTGCTTTCTACAGTTTTCAAGAACAAGGGCTAGTTTTTTCAATACTTAAAATTAGGAAAACTTTGATACATATATAGGATAATAATTTATACTAAAGGCAAAGAATGCGAATACAATGAACATGTGTGTATCTGCTGCCCAGCTAAAGAAACCTACATTACCATTATTTTTGAAGCCCCTATGATACCTCCCTGACTGCATTCCCTGTGTTTCCCATAAGGGTAATTGTGCTGACTTACAAGTCTGTTACTGTTATTCCTTCTGTCTTTGTGGGAAGCATACCTACCACTCCATCTCCCACCCCTAAAAGCACACATATATTAATATATATCCCACAACTTTTTTTTGCATGTTTTTAAACTCTATATTTAAAAGGAATTATACTGTATGTGTGTGCATATGTAACAGGGTTTTTTGATACAACATTATGTTTTTGAGATTTATCCATACTGATGTGTGTGGTGGTGGTTTATTCATTTTTCACTGCTCTATAGTTTCCCATGGTACAAGTTTATCAGAATTTATCTACTGATGGATATTTAGCTTATTTCTATTTTCTGTTAAAAATAAGGCTGCTTTGAACATTTTTGTACACATTTTCCTGGCTACATGCAAAATAACCTTTCTAGGGAGTATACCTAGAAGTGGAATATTGCGCATACATATTTTTCTGCCTTACTGGCTAATTCCAAATTGTTTGCTAAACGCATTTTATGTTTTCACCAGCAGGATATAAGGGCATAACCATTTGGTGTCATCTAAATTTCAAGGTTTTCTAATCAGTAGTTGCAAAATGGTATCTCATTAGATTTTTGTTTATATTCCCAATTCTAATGAGGATGAACGTATTTTTATGTTTACTGGTCATTTGAGTTTATTCTTCTCTCAAATGCCTGTTTGTATCTTTGCCTGTTTTTTAGCAGGTTTTATTTTTTTGTTGTTGATTTTTTAGCATTCCTTACATATTTTGGACATTGATTTTCATTAGTTATACATGTTACAGATATTTTCTTTCAATTTTTGACTTGTCTTTCACTTTCTTTATGGCATTGTATGTGTTATCTGCAGCTATCACCTAGCCAAGAAAGACTCCATTTTTTAAAATAACTCATTGAGACCCAGTAAATTGTTATTCTTTTCTCAACTTTCCAGTGGGGCTCCACGTCATTGTATATTCTAGAAAAGATTGGGCACCTCTGTGAAAGATAGTAGAGAATGTTTCACTAAGTTTTTCTTTTTGATGGCCTTCCTTTTTCTAATAGTGATAGGTAATCATTCTTTTTATATAATTCACAATTCTAGGTTTACTTGCAGTGGTTCTATATAAATCATTAACAGAAGTTTATGTCAACATTTGAATTCAAAAAAAGTTATTTTTCTTCAACTATAATAAATAGTGGCACATTTTCTTTTTTGGAATTTCCAACAGGAAAATGTTCTCAGTTGAGGATTATGGTCAGCATTTAATTACATATTCTTATAACTGGTCTTAAAGATTCGTTACTTCTCATTTTCATTTGTAGTACATGATACAAATGGAATTTAGGATCTTATTTTGTATTACTTTGATATTTATGAAACTTTTTTGTGAGGACTATATATCCTTTCTAAAAAATTAA